GATCAGTTTCTGCAGATGTTCTTGAAGCGTTCGATTAAACCTTTCGACCATTCCGTCAGACTGAGGATGCAACGGAGTCATTCTAGTTATATTAATGCCAAACATTTGGCAATACTCTTGAAGATTCAAAGTTTCTACCTTGGTCTGAATGCAGCTCTATGGGGGTTCCAAACCGCGTAATCCAATTATTGACGAATACTTTGGCTATTGTCTTCGCTTCTTGGTTAGCTATGGGGTATACTTCTGACCATTTACTGAAATAATCAGTGACTATCAGTACATATTTATTTTCTGCATTGCTGGTTGGAAACGGTCCAGCAATATCCATTGCGATCCCTTGGAAAGGCACATACACGGCCTGCTGCTGCAAACGCCCTCGTGGCTTATTTTTCGGACTTTTCGGTTTGCTGCACTGATCGCGGCTGTCAATCCAGGCAGCTACGGATTCCTCGATGCCTACTCAATAGATATTTTCCTTGATCTTCTCCACGGTTTTTGTGATGTCAACATGCCCTCTGCTGGGTGCGTTGTGGTATTCCCTTATAATAGCCTGAGTTCTCGCTTGTGGGACCACCAGTAATTTCTTAGCTCATGAAGCATCCTCACTATGCCATTTCCGCCACAAGCAACCATCTTCAACGATGAGGCTTTGCCGCTGAGCCTAATATGCCTTCGTAATCGGACTTTCTCTTGAAATCTCTTCCCAGGGGGGAAGCTCCTTTTTTTCTTCGTTGCGCATGTCTTCTTTCAAAAAGCTTCCGGCAGATGGCGACACCTCCTTGATTCTCGTTCCCTAGGCAGTGTTTGCAGTGCAGGTCGCATGGCCGTCTGGACATAGCATACGCATTGCCATGCGATTTGCCGCTCCGATAGGAAATTGTCAGCAGTTCTCGTTGCGTAACGCAATAATTCCTCACGTGTTTGGATAGGCGCTTGCCGTAATATGCTGTGACCTTTTCGTTACCGTCAATTTACACAAACATCGGCACCCAGTATAAATTTTTCTCCTGGTACTGGATGAGCTAAAACGGGGACCGATTTTTCT